GTTACGTTACGCAAAATTGTGACTTATTATTGGCTGATCGTGTCGGAAGATCATGTGACTGCGCCCTCGATTGTTGGACTTTTGGTCAAACCTGCGAATACATTCAGCATCTATTAAAATACAAAGGTAGAAGGTTTGTGCGACACTCTAGATAAAGATACTTTACTTTAAATTCTATTATATATTGGCATGCATTATATAAAGGGTGAATATTTGTTAAACAAAATTTTAATGAAAATCAACTCACTGTTGCAGATGTATTAGAAATGGTTCAATTTGACAATTATCTGGCTGATAAAGTTATAAGATTTGGTGAAGGTATACAAGGAAGCTGACAGTTTTGGATGAAAAAACGTTCAGAACTGTCAGATATGATCAAGCAATTAGGCTTCAAGGAATGATATTTTTTACCTTTAGTGCTGCAGATTTACACTGGCCCGAGCTCCATGATATTATGCCCCGTGAAAATGACTCTGTAGATAGTGAAACTAATACAGGATCTGCAAAACATCATAGCCAAAATCTTATAAATAATCCTCATAGTGGCTTGGTTTTTTGAGAAACATTTTGAAGTATTTTTTTATAAGGTGTTGCATCCACACTGGAAATTAGTTGATTGGTGGTATTATTTCAAATAGCAATACTATGGTAGTGTTTATTTACACAGGATTAGTAAGAAATATGATGCTTCAGAATTTGATTGAGAGAAAATAAATGGTAATGAAAATAAAATGCGTAAAATTTTAGCCTACTTCAATGATTTGGTCACCATAGTTAACTCATATTTAGATGCGTCTATTCCCGATTGTCACCCATATCAGAAGTGAAATGACGAACTACATGATGATCTTCAAGATTATATTGAGTTGGTTAACAAATTACAATGATATACATGTTGTAGTTTATCATATTGCCTTCATGTTAATAACCGAACCAATAAACAAGAGTATAGATATGGATTCTCTAAATAAAATGTTGGGCATACTTTTATACGCAATAATAGCCAGGGCTAGCCTGAACTTGTCATAATGAGAAATGATCTCTATATTAACTCTCGTAATCAACTTCAGCTTCAAGGCTGGAGAGCAAATGTTGACCTCAAACCCATACTTAGTATCCATGCTGCTCTACAATATATTTGTAAATATACAAGCAAATCTGAACTATGGTCTACACCTTTTTCAGATTTGCTAAACCAGATACTTTACAATAATAATATTAATGACTCATCAATCACTCCAATTCAACATCTGCTACTTCATACTATTACTAAACATGATATATCTGCTTAGGAGACTTGCTATCTACTTCTTGGTATCCCACTCTATCACTCAAGTTATAGATTTGTTATGCTGAATCTTAATAATGATGCACCCCATTACTTTTGTAATACTAGAAATTGGAATAAACAAAATAATGTGTCAGACATTAATAGTTTTGGAAAAACAGCTAAATCTTCTTTGCAATTATATTGGAATTAACCCATAGAACTCGATAACATATTACTTTTTCATCTCTACTTAAAATATTATTTAGTTAATAGTTATTAGAAAGAATGCAAAAAATGTAATAAAGTTGTAAGAATTTGGCCACATCTATCTTCATTACGTAATGGCCCTAAATGAGAAAACTTTTGCTATATAAAAGTACTTCTACATGTACCTCATAAGTCTCTTCAGCAATTAACAAGAAATGATGCTATCTCTTGGGTAAATTTATATGCTCTCCACCTTACAGAAATAGAAGTGGATTTTGATGACTTACTCAGTCTCGCACTGGATAACTTGCCTAACAATAACAATCAGATTGTTGACAATGAAAATCATATAGTTGAAAATGACAAAGAAGACAAATTATTAGATAAATTTCGATCTAATTAGATGCACCTAGCAGAAATGGGCCCGAACACTGTCAATTATAATTTTAATCTCGATCTGAAAACACGTCATATGGACCAGAACTATGAGTGGACTGTTAGTGGCAAGCACTATGCAAATATTGATGTAGCAAACTTTGTACAACATGCCTCGATTGAAGATAGAGGTGCTAAAAATTTAGTTGCTATAACTATTAATGACCATACATTAAATGATATTCAACGAATTATTTTTGAGTGAATTAAGTTGCATTATACTAATCAAGATAGCAATTCGTTAAAAATAATTATTATGGATACAGCTGGAACTGAAAAGTCATACTTAATTAAAATAATCTGTGATCAACTTAATAACATTGCAATAAAACGTAATTCTAAATCACCTATACTTATACTTGCCCCAACAGGAGTTGCTACCTATAATATAAATGGTATTACTATTCACTCAGCACTCTCTATTCCAATTTTCAGAATGTGTCTTGATATAAACAGAGAAAAACTAAAACAGCTACAAAAGAGGCTTCAAAATATTAATTATATAATAATTGATGAAATGAGTATGGTAGACCACAGAATGCTTGCTATAATAGATGTGCGACTATGCCAGGCCTTCTCAGAATATAAAAATATACCATTTGGTAGCAGATTGGTAATTCTTGTTGGTGACTTTGGCCAGCTTCTGCCAGTTTGCGATCTTCCTATGTATGTAAAAAGTCTTCATAATCATGATTCAGTGTCAAATGATGGTCGTATAGCTTACTCTCAGTTCTGGAAAGTTTACAGACTTGAAGTAATTCAAGGTCAATTCGGAAATTCAGATAATCAATGCCATTTTAGAGATATTTTGTTTAGACTACATAATGGAGAATTAACTCAAGAAGACTGAGAAGTTTTGGTGACTCAATTTGAAAATAGAGTATCCAGAGTTGAATGCAATCAATTTTCTGAAACCACTCATATTTTAACAAGATGGTTGGATGTCGATGAAGTTAATATTAATATGCTTAAATCGCTATATTGCTCTGTTGCCAGAATCCTTGCTGTGCATAGTGGTGGTAAAGAGGCTCTTACAGCTGACTCTGATGTAGTATGAGAACTCGAAGCACAACTTTTAATAGCAAAAGGTGCAAGAATTATGCTTATAGCAAATTTATAGACATCTGTCAGATTAGTTAACAGTGCGATAGGGACTGTTATAGATATTCTTTTTGCAGAAAATCAAGGACCTTCTTCACTTCCCATTGCTATACTCATTGCATTTGATAACTATAGTAGCCCTTCGATTGAAACTCCAATAGGGATTAATATTGTACCAATTCCACCTATCAGGCACACTTGGAAAGGCAAATCTGGCTCATGCTCATGTCAACAAATTCCTATCTTCCTTGCATGGGCTATTACAGTTCACAAGAGCCAAAGGCTCACTCTGCCAAAAGCTGTAGTGGATCTCAGCACAAAAGAATTTGCGGCTGGTCTTTCCTTTGTTGCAATATCTAGAGTCCGAACACTCCAAGATGTCCTTTTCAAACCATTCTCCTTTGAAAGAATTGAATATATCAAAAATTATTCAAGGTTACAAAAAGATTGAAAGAAGAAAATCGATTACTTAACATGCTTAACATTTAATTTATTGACAAAAATTAATGTATGAATATATTCATCACTCAAATCAATAATCACTTTACTAATCATAATTATGGCACCTTAAACACCTTTAATGACCTATAAACCAAAAATCCTCATATAATAGTCAAATAGAGAATCTATATTTATATTTATACTACAATATAAAATCCCTAAATAATATAATAATACTAGAAATATTATTATAAAACCAATAAGACTTATCAAAAAAAAAAGTCATTATAGTAAGGACAAAAAGAAGTGAAAAACCTCATTAAGCATTTCTTAAGTATTGATTTATACAACTAATTATTAATCATGCTATCAATAACTGAGAACTAAATTACATGATTAATTACTGTATTATCCAATTGTTTAATATATTTTATCTAATCATAAAAAAATCATATGATATATATATGTAGGGATGGGCAATTATATTATACCGTATAATAAAAATGGTATAATAACCGTATAATTGGTATAATATAATTAATAA